GCGCGTTGGGGGGGGGGAGGGGAGATCGACTAGTAGACTCGACTATCTGACAAGCATTTGCTTATCAGATAGTCAACTAGTCCTTATCATCCTTAGTCCATTCTCAAAACTAGGGAAGATGAGTTTCTGATTGCGGAAGAGAAGTGGAAAGACCTAATACAGGTTGTACCTCCCTGAACCAGGATTCTCTGATCTGGCAACATCCATGGTCTGGCAGGGCTAGCAGCAGCCTGGCAGGGGAGCCAAGGCATCATGAGTAGGAGGACTGGCAGGAGAGCCAGGTCTGGGACTGCACAGCAGCCCAGCAAGGGAGATGGGGCCCATGGTAACCTGGCAGGGAGGCCACGCAAACTGGGGAGCCATGGCCACATGGCACCCTGGTGGGGGGCCAGAGCTGCACATGCCAGAGAGCTGGAGCCAAAGCCAGGGTCATGCACCAGCCCAGCAAGGGAGCTGGATCCAGAGCTACAACGGTGTGACAGGGAGACCGGGCTGTGGCAGCCTGGCAGGGACAAGGGGGGGGGGGGGGGCAGCAGCCCAGCAGAGGAGCTGGGCCAGGGCTGCACAGCAGCCCTCAGAGCTGAGACCGTCAGCAGGCAGCCCAGCTGGAGCCTTCAGCAGCATAACCGGACAGGGCTAGAAACTGAGCCAGTGGAGGATTAAAAAGCCAGCAGCAGGGGAACCTACCTTGGCCTGGAAAATTCCCTCATTCAGAACCGGTCAGTTCCCGAGGGTGCCAGATCAGGAAGATCCAAGCTGTATATACTGTGTGTGCTACTGTGGCATAGTAGAGTCATGGCTGCTCTGCTAGTAGCGCCACAGCTTTGACACTGCCTAGAGTTTTTCTGTGTGAATTTGTCACAACCCTGAGTGCCAGAGGTGCATGCTCACCTAATTTCTAAGCATAGACCAGGCCTCGGTGCAAACAAACTGCACCTCCCCAGGAGCAGTTTCCAAAACGCTGGCAAGGCGCGGGAGAGGGAACACAGATGCACTGAGAGAGTCAGGCCACTACTAGAAATTATAGGAACAAGAGGCCATCAGTAACAATTGTTTCTGAATTTTTGCCTTTTTTCTCATTACCTCTTCCACAACCAGAAAGAATTTAAATGGCCATTGCTCCACATGGCTATGGTGTTCAATTGTATATTACAGAGACAAGCTTCATTAGTCTTTTGGTTCATCACTTGTTGTCATCTCCATTAGTATAAATGGGATACACATAAGGAAATCCAGACCTATCATATCACACAAGCACATTATTCAAAGTATTCTCTAATCATAGGACAATCAATAAAGAGAAAGGATGAGGGTAGCAACATTTGTCTTCTTTTTAAAAAATACAAAAAAATAAAAATAATCAAGCCTGAAGTTACAGAATACCTTGAAAAAGTCCCTCATCAAAAGCTCTTAAGCCAGCTAAGCAGTAATGGGATAAGAGGGAAAGTTCTATCATGGATCAATAAGAGGCTAAAAAATAAGAAACAAAAGATCCTGTGCAGTTAAAGCACAACATATTTATCCATTTACATCAAATAAGAACCAAGGGTCAACCCAATGAAATTGATAGGCAACAAGTTTAAAACAAATATAAGGAAGCATTTCTTCACACAATGTGCAGTCAACTTGTGGAACTCAATGCCAGGGATGTTGTGAAGGTCAAAACTATAACTGGGTTTAAAAAAAAGAATTAGATAAGCTCATGGTGGAAAAGTCCATCAATGGCTGTTAGCAAAGATGGTCAGGGATGCAAACCCATGCTCTAGGTCTCCCTATGCTTCTGACTGTCAGAAACTGTCAGTCTAGAAAGAGTCTACGATGGACTGGATGACAGAGGCTGGATCACTTGATAGTTGTCGTTTTCTGTTCATTTCCTTTGAAGCATCTGGACATGGCCCACACCTCACACTGCCCGCCCCCGCAATAAGTCGGTACTGGTGGAATTGCAGCATATAGCAGTGAATTCACTCACTAGACATACAGTGGTTGGCCCTTTCACAAGTGGTGCGGGAAGAAGGGGAAAAGTTCATTACACTTCAACCCCCCAGTTACAATCTGACCATAATCTAACAAATGTCAGTGTCACCTCAAACCTAGCTAATATATGTAAAACAGGCTTATGGAATACATTCGCTTCCTGAAAAGCAACATGGTACACATACAATGCAGCAGAAGGCCATAACCAGTCAATTAGAGACTCGCATTGTACTTTCAAAACACCAGACGCCACTCAGGAGCCTAAATCCTATTGAGATACAAATGTCCTTTCCTCTAGGGTGCTTTGAAAATGGGACTTAGGTACTTTTTATACAAAATCTATTCTACAGATTGGAACACAAAACTGGATTATTCTTCTTTTCTAATGGTCACAGTACTAGCCATATCTTAAGAGAGTGGATTGGCAAACTGAGTTTCTGACGTGTTATGCTGAAGGAGTGGTCAGATGATCAGAAACATAAAAAAATGTGAAGAGACAGTTGAAAAAAAGGAAGTACAGTGAACATTAGCATGCAAAACTGGCTGAAAGCCTCAGCAAGCTTGTTCAGGATGATGCCAGAGAAACCCCCTTTAAAACCTAAAGTCAACAGAAGGTAAGAATTGAGCATAAAGTGAATGCTTACTTAAATGAGGCATTGTAATTTATTTTGAAATTTACTACAAAAGGGAACCAATGGGACCTGCAGTATCATAGAAAGCAGCTAAAGGAATGATTGGGAATAGTTAACTATATTGTGCACTATACATGGTAAGGCAGCTCCATAGAATAAACTAGTATTCTGCTAGTAACATATGCACCCTGCTACAGTGAAGGAATCCCTGTATTTCCTTATAATTACCTGTTTTCAGAGGATTTGTATTTTAAATCAGCCATTTCTAATTACCCTGGACAGGAAACCTGTTATAAAAGTGCTGGGTACAAATGCAGTTAGAACTCTCATGTTATTACCATGCCATTTTAAAATATTATAGAACACCAATAAAATATATTTTTGTTTGTGGGGATTTTATTTTGTGTTTGTTTTGAGGGATGGTTGTTGCTATTTTATATTTTCTATTAAGCTGTAACTTTTGTAGTTGAAAAATATGAGGACGGGGTTAGCAGTAGAATAAATGTACAGTTATTTTACAGTTAAACCATCTATAGTTAAGAAGCTACCGTATATTTGATAATTTTTTACTAAGCAACATTGGAGAAACACTGTTCATGTGCATTTATAAAATCCATTTACAATATCTGCAAGTTCTCTTACTGAGAACTCTCACAGATACCTATGCAATACAAACCTCAAACATGAAACATGCAGATCAAAACCACAAGGATAAATGAAAAAATAATTGTGACTAAGCTGGCTTGTAACTTTCACAATAAACAAGCAAACAGATAAAAGTTCTTTTTCAGAACAGCCACAAATTCTGACTTTTGAGGTCTCTACAGTAAGATTCCAATCCAGAACAAGAAATTGAAACTTTGGCAATGTAGCATCTCAAACTACACACTTTTTGTTGTCCCTCTACCTATATCTAATGAAAGATTTAGTGAGCAGAGTACTGCAGAATTCATTCTCTTCAATGCTGGTGTAGCTATTACTGTTAATTTACAAGTATATTAAAGAGTATCTTACATTAATCAAAACTGAACTGCAATGAAGGGAATTAAACGACTTTGCTAGCATTGTGTATGAGCACAGGCACACTTCTCCACCTGGGTCCTTCCTGCACTAAGCTCCATGCAGGTGGACCTGTGGAGCCTCAGGACTTCAGTGGAGTGTCAGTGGACACAGAAGTATGCCTGCTGTGTTCAGCACTCAAACAGTATCAAGACTAGGGCTTTCAAGTTGAAACAGTCTTTTGTAGGCAAAATGGTTCCCAAGTAAGGCAAAGGAAAACCAGAAAGTAGAAAAGATGTGTTTGCAAGAGCAGATAAACTGAACTGAAAGATAATTAATATAACACAGAAAGGCGGGAGTCAGCTTTTTAGTAATTTTAGTTTGTAACAGCTTTGTGCTACTAACCTGAAAAGGTCCCCAAATTTGCTTCGTAGGTGACTGCATGATACATAGAGATCATAGAGGTAAGCTAAAATGCATCTTTCAGGGGAAGAACACTCTGATGGATTAACAACATGCTTGACAACACCACATAATCTGGAAAAAAAAAATCAGAGATTAATTCCCAACTCAGACTTTTGAAAATGTATTAACTGCTCATTTCACTTGGAATGATCTCTTGCAACATGTTAATTTCTTGTCTTAACAACCTGTTCCACCTTGCACTCAACTGTGAGTACTTTTCCCAGACCAGAAGAAGACCTCTGCATAAACTCAAAAACTTGCCCCCTCTCACCAAAAGAATTCCATCCAATAAAAGATATTACCTCACCCACCTGGTCTCCCTAAAATCTAATTATGCGTTTTAACATTATAAAACTAGCATACCCATGCCAAGAATTAGAAGATGGTCTATGTCCATATAAAAGTCAAAATGGATGCCATTTTTATAGGTATAAAGGGTTTCATTGGAAGCAAATTTCCAAATTTTCCGATGAAAATAGTAATTTTATAGGTATAAAGGGTTTCATTGGAAGCAAATTTTCAAATTTTCAGATGAAAATAGTAAAGCGTTCAGAGTATTTTACACATATGGGACACAATCCTGCAGCAAATTACGTACAAGGGGAGTCACACTGACTTCAAGAGGGCTCCATACAGGCCACAGAGATGTGCCCAAACAGAGCTCAATGCATAATCTGGGCCATGGAAAACAGATCAAAGTTTTACAGCCTGGCACCAGTGCTCCCTGCAAGGTGTGTACTTCTGAGGCTGCTAAGGAGAGACTCCAATGATGCCCAGCTGATTAGCAGAGCACCCACAGCTATGTTTTGTTTCTACTGGTAGTGGTCAATCTGCACATTCCTCGGGCGCATAAACATTTATTTTGCACATGGACAGAAAAAATCTGCACATGGATAGAAAAGATTAGAGGGTGCCTTGTACCCTAAAGACGATGATATAAAAACGTGCAACAGTTGCTAACCTAGCACATCACAAGTTCACTGTGCACAAAGGACTAAACATTTCACACTTTAATTTGGCTTTGCTCCAATGGAATTCAGTTTTCATCTAGTATCTCTGTAATAGTACATGGAAGCAAACATTTCCCAGTTTATCTGGCTCTACCGTGATTGTCTATAAGGCACTGTTGAGGAAGGAAGGTCACAGTATTCTTTGCATCAATGATTTTATACTGAATCATTACCTACTGTACACCCTTACTGCCACACTTAAGAAGTCAGTGTGTTCTACACCACCTGTCATTTATACACTGTAAGCTTTTGAGGTAAGGACTGTCCTATATGAGGTTTGTATAATGCCCAACCCAGTGGAGCACTTGGGATTAACTTTAACACAAAGGGGAAAAACAACAACAGCAAACTGTTACACTACTTTTGAGTAAAATATTCTATAAACTACTCTCAGGCATATATCTAATAGGACAGATAAATACTGCAAATCTCAATGAATATTTAAAACCAGCTTATTTAAATCAGTGCAAAAATCTGAAGAGAAACTATTGCACTGTGTGTAAATAATTTTTAATGGAAACTGATGTAAAATCTTTCTTATAGTGTTTTATCAAGTTAGCTTAAGTCAATTCCTCAATCATTTAAGTTTAAACTAAACAAAAACACTCACATTTTATTTTTTGTGATAGTTTAAACTTTTCCTGAGCAATTTATAGCAATTCAGTGTATACAGCTGACACATATTTTAATAGCTCAAATGCCAGTACAATACAAGAAAACATGTAGATGGTATCATGAGCTTTCGTGGGCACAGGAAGTGGGCTGTGCCCACGAAAGCTCATGATACCATCTACGTATTTTGTTAGTCTATTACGTGCTACCAGACTATTTGTTGTTTTTTCAGTTTACCTGTATACTAAGTTGGCTACCCGCTGAAGTATAATACAAGTTTAATTATGCAATAAACATAGAAAAAATACAGCAGCTACAAACCCTTCAAAAACTTGGGCAGTCTGCTCTGGATTTAGAATTAGGCAGGCATGGTAACGCCGCAAAACTGCAACAATGCACACACATAATCCTGTTGTGTAACTTCCTGCCAGGCTGGATGACTTCAACAGTAGTTCTGCTTCCACAACACTCAGTTCATTTAACAGCTAAAGTAGAAGACAAATATTGAGTGTCCTTTTCCAAATTAAGCTACACAAAACATTTCCAACAATCATAAATGAGAAAAGCAATGGAAACATCACACAATAACATGCTAAAAATAAAGAAAAAAAGTGTTCAAACAATACAAAAGCACAAAGGATTGTTCTGAGCTGTAGAAATGTTTTTGTGCCTAGACAACTGTCACATAAGATAGAGAAGTGCTTTAGATTAAAATAGCCATTTAAACCATATTAAATAAGACATTCTGGACTAAGATGTTCTGGATTTGCTATTTTGAAAAAAAACAGCACATTTTAAAAACAATTGGAAAATGTTTTCCAATTAAGAAAAAATAAAAGTACAATAGCTAACAAACTCTTTTATAGTGTCTGATCTATAGATCTTCAAGGATTGCATAAGATTAGTTAAGTATTGACAGCCCATTTAAAGGCAGGGAAACTGAAGCATATATAAGTTACATGATTTGCACAAATGTTACACAACGGCAGATCTAGAAAAATACAGATCGCCTCACTCCCAGTACAGTGTCCTCCTACCATGGAATACATTGCCAGCCAGTTATGTGTTTAATATCAAGGTAATAATTTCATATTTATAATGTGAGAGGAAAAGTCTACTCTAACACCAAAGAACGTTTACTTGTACAGCATATCACTGTTGTGCATGTCACTTTCACACAAACTGCAAACTTATTTGTTAGACGTGTACTATTTATGGAAAGGTCACATTATAGCTTTGTCTTGACATACATTAGAACAAAGCAATTGCTTTGTTACCTGTATAGCAAAGTCAATAAGCCCATTGATGTTGAGTGCTGGCTCCATAAGATCAAAGATAAGTTGTATGTGGTGAGCCAAAGGGAGATGATACGATGTACCTGAAGCAAAGCTAGTTATTTGTTCCAGAACATTATTGGAGATCTGTGAAAATGAAAAGCATCTGTGTTTTAAAACATTACAATAATTGAGTATTTATCTTCCTAAATATTCAAATTTCTACCATCAATTTTGGCCACATCTATATTCACCACTCTGGAGATTGATACTCTGGCATTAAATTTAGCGGGTTTGATAAGAACCCACTAAATAGAACACTGAGCGTGCCCCCAGTCGATACCAGTACTCCTCAATTTGTGGGAAGTAAGGAACGTTGACAGGAGTGTTTACTCCCATCGACCTCCCACCGTGGAGATGGCACCAAGCTCAGCTACATTATTTATGCTGCAGTTGTGTATCTTAAGCCAGCCTTCTGCGTCTTGTGTAGACCTGGCCTTAGGTAAGTGATTTTTGATAACTGTTTAATGAAGCATTAGACAATAAAAGCACTTTAAAACAGGTCAATGCTCTAGTAACTGATAACTGAGGAAAGGATTTTTATGTACTGTTTTATTACAATGTATACTCAGCTCTGACTTAGTTTGTGTTCCATGCCAGCAAAATAATGTTAAATTATTGTGTGTCCTAAATAGATCAACCTATTCTTAACTTTTGCAATTTCATTTTTTATTATTTATAAAATGCTTTAAGAAAGTGATTTGAAATTAAAAGTAGTGTTGAATCCATGTGTTTTAAATCTTCAGTCAGTTGGACAATTCTAGATTTAAAACATATTTTTTTGCTCATTATGATTAATGACTAAGATGCTTTACTAACAAAAGTCAATCACAAAGCATACATAGCAAAATCATCCAAAAAAAATGAAAATCCGAAAAAAGTGCTCTAAGGATTTATTGAATATATGCCAGTTTTTGTAACTTCTTCTTTCTTTATTTTTGGTGCCAAGATCAAATTAGTAAAAATATATTTAAATGAAACTTTACTGGAATTAAAGGAATTTTTATAATGCTAATTAGCACTAATCGCTTCACCGCTAAATGTTGAAAGTCTGTGGCAACAAACTAGTATTTTGAATAGAAACATATTTGCAGCTCTTGATAAAGTTTCTTTATGGAACACCCACATGTAATTTAAAACAAATCACATATTATTTGTGGTTTGTAGTTATTAAAGTAGCTATAATAGGAGAAGCAAAAATAAGCTTAAAATGTTTAAATTCTACAAAAAGCTTAAATCAACTGCAGCTTTTAATCTCTCTCACACGCACGTTGAACAGAATCATGGAAAAGATTCCATCAACTTTCATGAAAGTTACAATGATAGTTTGTGCCTTATGCCCATGCATAGCATTTTGCACAAAACTGAAAAATTGAAAAGTATTTACATTAATAATTAGCAGTACACTGCTGACAGTTAATATTCTATACATAGAAAGTTAAATATTCTATACATAATATTCTATACATACATAATATTCTATACATAGCTGAATATTATAGCAATAGTTCCAAATATTTCATTTGTACTGTAAATATTCATGAAATTAGTAATAGCTTTGCTAACATCTTGCCAATACAAAACTACCAATTTCTAGAAGTTACTTAAAAATACGGAAGAAGCATTTCACTAGCTTTTACCGTATTCGTTAATTAAAAATACTATGTATGGACAGATTTTTTTATTCTACGGTTTTCTTCCTACTTGACATGTAAACAGTGTAACTTAAATAACTACAATGTTATTCAAAAAAAGTACCTGAGATGTCACCTGATGTTGATCAAAATAGGATAGTTGCTGCAGTTTTGTGAACACGTTCTCAAGAGATGGAAATGCTTCTTGTTTGTTCTTCCTGGCTTTTTGCCCTTCATCCCCAACTTAACAGAAAAAAACATTATTCTGGTCATTTTACATTTAATAGATCCCATGTAGTTTTGCATTTTTACTGCTTTAAAGGCCATTTAAAAAAAAATGCTTTGCTCGAAATGACTATATAAAACACCATTCACACCAGCTTTCCACTGTGCTTCAGGGGAAAAAAAATTTCACAGCATACAACAAGATGCAGCTTTGGGGCCTGCTTCAGGGGAAAAAAAATTTCACAGCATACAAGATGCAGCTTTGGGGCTGGGGGGAGGGAGAGGAGGGTGGAGAACATTTTTAGTCATTCAAGTGAAAAAAGTGACAGTTATTAAGGGCCAGAAATAGCCAAACAATTTTGCTAAAATAATAGTAAACATAAATCTCTTCTGGCTGACCTATTGTATTCCAGATTTTAGCCTGAACATAATTTTTACAGCCAAGTTATTAATATGGACAGAGAGGTATAGTTGAAATGACTAGCTGTACTGGTACAGTTATAAGGCAGGGCTACTCTGGCTACTTCATTCTGTAGGTGTAGTAGCAGTATTTGTTTGACCGACTATGCAGGAAAAAAGGCAAATTATATGATAAATTTGCATGGTTCTAATTAGAACCTGCTCTACATAGGCCCTACATTGTGAATTACAGACTCTGGAAAGCTCAGTATTTACCTCCTGTTTCAGTAGTACTTTTCTTATTCAGAATTTTCAGGATATCTTTGGTAATCTTCTTCAGCTGATGCCTTGCCTCATCACGCTCTTTGCCAACACCATAAAGAAGAATCATGCGTTGGTTACATTCATGACTAGAAGATTCATCCTGAAAAACAAGCAAAGCAAGCAAATTAAGCAACTTTCATTTTCTCTTGTTGATTGCAATTAAGGAGTAAGAAAGGACAATTAAACCTTTTTCCAACATTAAGTTCAGCTTGGATTTACTTGCATAATACAGATTAATTTTGCCAAGGCTGGAGTTGCCAGGAGCACCGCCCTTTTGAAAGTCACATCACTTAGACTCAGATGCATAAATATGAACTTTGCAGTATTTATTCATGTTAGCCCTCACCAACTCTCCTTATTAACCCTCTCCCATAGTGAATAATGAGCAGCAGGGATCCCAATAGCAAAAATAAGCTCTAATAAAACTGTAACCAAAGGACCTCTTGATGTCACCTGGAAGATGCCACAGGGGTATAAAGGGATCCTCTGGATTCATCAGAAATGGTCATGTAGATCTCTATGGAAAGAAGAGGTATGTACAGAAAACACTTGAAGACTATGAATTGACACAGACCCAGACCAATTGGCCATCGCTGTCTGATGGAACTAGATATGCTGGTCTCTGGGGGTGCGTCTACACAGCAACATTATTTCAGAATAATAGATGTTATTTCAAAATAACTTTGCGAGCGTCTACACAGCAATTACATTATTTTGAAATAGTATTGAAATAACAGGCAGCTTATTCTGGATTCTGTAACCTTCATGCCACAAGATATAATGTCTCTTCCAAAATAGCTATTTCAGAATAGCAGTCACATGGACAGTCCACTGCTGCTATTTTGAAATAGTTCTATCCCCAGGACATTCAAAGTAATTACTTCCCAGTGCTTCCTGGGACTCTAAATCGATGTCGTGTGTCTACATTAGGGGAGCCTGCCTTGGACTAATTTCAAGGCTTCCCTGTAGTGTGGATGTGCTATTTCAAAATGAGCATTTCTGGAGTATTTCTTCCCGAATAGCTTATTCTGAAATAAGTGTGCAGTATAGATGTAGCCTGAGTGAATAGCTTTCTCTTTCTTGAGTAGCCAGGGCAGGAGTTGCTGCAAAGTGACCAGGAAGAACCTGGGGACAATTAAGAACTTGCCAGAAGCAGCAGGCTAATTAGAACACCTTCAGCCCGTTAAGAACCTGCTGGGACTAGTTTAAAAGGTTCCCTTCAGGGAGGGCAAGAGGCCAAGGACTGGGAGTGAAGGTGCGCTGGGAAAGAGCAGAAGGACATGATCAGGTACCAAGAGAAAGGTTCTTGGGACAGTTGGTTGTGGAAGGGGCTCAGGAAAAAGCTGCAGCTGTGGTGGTGGAGGAATTACTATCTGCTGCCTCTACCCATGTTCTCTCCAAACCTCCCTGAACCAAGATGAAGGCAACCTCTGAAGGGGGAGTTTGGGCCAGAAGAGTGGTTCACCCCAAAACCTATTTGAGCAGCCTATGATGAGGTTGGCTCAGTAGGCTGTAACCCTTTACTGGATCAAAGGATGAGAGGCTATGTGGAGGATCACAGCGAGCCTCGGACACAAACACTTTCCGCCTACAAGTGCAGGATCCTGAAAGGCCAGGCAAGCGCTTTGCCACAGTATATATGCTGAAAAATATGTTCTATAGGCCTTGTAGTTAAAGACAGGCCACTCAAAATTAGTGTGCTCTGAGACTAACTTCTCCAGATAGGACATGGGAGACATTTATCTTCCTGGGAACCATTATGTATTCTATCTTGTACTGGTAGTCTGAAGCATTTGTCTCAGTATGCTACTAGAAGGAAATTAATGAGACGAGGTAAACAGTGAGGGTTTGGGGACACCCTTTTTTAGGTGATGATCAAATGTCTTGTTTGGTATAGCCTAAGATGAAGAAACACATCCCTCAATCTCTGATGACAAGCTGCGAACAGGCTTACTATGACAAAAGAAGGGTATCAGCCAGCCTAGCAGAAAATTCTGAGAAATGTGTTTGGGATAAGCTATCTTACAGGAGATAGAAAAATTACTTGGGAGTTAAGTTTAGACTCCAGAACAGCCATGGGCAACCTAAGGTAGTGAGTAGGCTACATGAGTGACCTTCTTTCATTTCAGTGGGTTGCAAGATTGTCATAACTCCTGGAATAGCGTAATTTTGCTAAATGCAACTATGTGCCTAGAATTTGCAGGCTGTGCTGACAAACACAGCAGCACTTAGATTGGATGTGGAGGAGCGCATGGCTCTCAGTCAGTGTTCTGTGCAATCAGCAGGCACCTCACTTCATGTGCCCTTGCTTTATATGCATGTCACTTTAGCATTAGAGGAAGGAAAAATATATGGAGGTAAAAATCAGCGGAATCTTACAACTCTGCATATGAGCAACAGTAAACAAAATGTCTCATGGACCACACATAGAACCCCAATGAGCCACAGGTTTCCCACCACTGATGTAGAGTTATAATTCTATTGTTTATAACTGCTTGTTTCAAATACTTTTACTTTCCAACACCTATTCTTTGGTAAACTCATATTAGAAACTGCATATGAAGTTGAGTGATGGTCCAGAGCTGACTCTTATAATGTGATGTGTACTATTCACTTGGGAGCAGCGAAACGGAGACTTCTGTTAGTGTTCAATGGAGTGGAGGCTGGGCACCCCAGAATAATCCTCAGAGGATTTTGGGATTGGGGTATATTTATTGCTGGTCTGTGGAGAGGAGGCAAGTCCTGTGGAGGCCTAGAAGCCAGTGCTTGTGTTGTCAGAAGCTAGTGGCATCAGGGAAATGATCCACAGCAAGCACAGACAAGACTCCTACATGCTAAGCGCAGATGGCACTGAAGTGCCTCACAACCCTGGGTACCCCAGGGAAACATCAGAGCATTTGTTTCTTTTTTTTTGATCACTTTTGGTCAGCATTTGGACAAACTCTGTGCTGGTGCCTGTGCCACAGACTTCTACACTCACGCTGTAAGCAGATAAGATTCAGATTTTTTGCCATGCACAACTGCTTTATATCAGTTAGGGCTGCAGTGATCAGTACTACTACAGGCATTTCCCTTCTGTATTGACACAGCAAAGATTGAAGCTTTCTCTCCAGAAACCAGCACAAATATGGTATTAACAGTGATTGGTACAACTAAAAAAACACCCATCAGTACAATAAGACTTTATCCTTTAAGCTACAATATATTCCATAGAAAATATATTTGCAATTGGATCCTTTCCAAACAACCTAACATGAGTTTACGGAATGCTCCATTAGTGCATTTAGAGGAAATGCCATTTGAAACAGGAAAAGACCTTGACAGGCAATGTTCCACAGTAACAATCTGATTAAAGAAGCCGCATGAACGAAAGGAAAGCACACAGGCCTGGAAATAAACCCTAGCACACCTACTTACTTGCTTTATGATCATATGGCCCATGGGGCAAGTCACTTCACCTCAACTCTCCCAGCCATAAAAAAGTGATACCATGACTTTCCTACCACACAGGGTGTGGTCTGTTATCCCTTGCAGAATGTACTGAAATGCTCAGTGAAAATTATACAAATGATCATTCAAACACACACAAAGCAGCTGTGTTCATTCTATGCAGACATCCTTCATTTATAACCCTGTTGGCATGGTCTGTTTCAAATGCATCCTGCAACAAAATGTCTTAAGCAGGAGTTCAACAGATGTTTATCAGTCTGGTTCAATATCACCACCATCACATTTTAATAATTACCTAGAAGAGCTGACTCCTTCAGAACAATGCTGTGCTGGAATTACTTTTCCCTCATTATTCAGAGCTGCAGAAAGTTCAAATAATACACACTTCACTTGCACTGTCATTTGCTTCTATTCTGAGTGAGTCAATATGCTTTCATAGAATCCTTTTCTTAGGTACACAATTCTTACCATAATGATGTTATTTAAGATAAGGTGAAATAACTGTTTTTCAAAACAAAAGATCTGAAGCGCAACACAAGTGGGTACAAGATCTAAAGGATTCTGAAGTCTATACATATAGAAAACATCAACTCCAGATGCCAGTCACACCCTACACCTGCAGTGTACCCACAGGGACTACATTAGTTACAAAAATATCTTGGCATGCTTCCTACACAAACTAGTGCCAACTTCTCATTGCTATCAGTGAAAAATGTACATGATAGAAAAAAAGCTGAGAGAAAGATGAAACATACCAGTTTCTTCTCCACACACTGAGTACTGAAACAAAACTGATGTGAATAAAGTTAGTGGTGAACTTACTCTTTACTCAGTTCTGCAGATATTTATTCAATGAATCCTCGTCAGAAAAAGAAAATAATTCTAACTGCAGCCCATAAGCCCTCATGACATTTCCTTCTTATCATTGACCACTCCATAGATCTGGTCTATAAATGTGGAGAAGCAAATTAGAAAATTAAAGAAAATCTAAATCATTTAGGGCATTGTAGTCCTCCAGCTAGACACTCATCAGGCTGTTGGCTTTGAACAGACAGCCTGGGGACTGTGCGCTTTTATGCTCCTTTTTGGTCCGTGTAGGCTGAAAACACTGTCTCCTTCAGCCTTCCTGAGTAAGAAACCAAACACTCATGTCCATGACACTCAAGTATATTAATCTGTATTTGAACCACTCACACTTTGCTATTACAACTCCTATTACAGTCAGAAATGACAGATGTACAGAAAAAAAATTAATGGCCAATATCTTCTCTTGGGACATAGGAAAGTCATGATGGATTTTTTTATGGCGCTCCAACTGCCTCTCATAATATACCGTATTTTATACACATGTAAATTATGCTCATTAATTCTCTTCAAATCATTGAAAATTATGAATATTGTATGTCTTATGTTAGACAACTTATTACAGTACATATGCACAAATTTGAACTGGCTTGATTTTATTGTCCTTGTTATTTTCATGTTTATTTCTCTGCACCAAACATGCATGCTTGATCAGGACATTTTTAACCTTCACCTCATATTACAAAGTTGTCTTTTGCTAACTGGCATTTGGCAGCACATTTTGCGTATCCATTATTCTCCAGTTTAAACACATAGTGAAAATATTACCTGTGTTGCTTCTAGCTG